AGGGTGTGTGTGTGTAAGGGTGTATGGTGTGCGTGTAGGGTGTGTGTGTGGTGTGCGTGTAGGGTGTGTGTGGTGTGCGTGTAGGGTGTGTGTGTGGTATGCGTGTAAGAGTGTGTGTGTGTGTTTCGCAGGAGCCAAACATGACAGGCGCCACCACTGCCTGACAGCCCCTCCCTTCCCATCGGTCCTGGGAGGCGTGTAGACCTTATTCCATGTAGTAACAACTGCTGCTATTTCTTGCGGCTTCTGGCGGGAGGCTTTGGGACGTGTCTTATTTAATCTTACCCTCCCAGTGCAAAAACGTGCGGCCATCCTCCTTTTACACCACTGGAAGTTCTTCCCTGGCCCCACAGCTAAGAAGTCACAGAACCAGAGTTCGGTCCAGGGCGCATGTCGAGGGTTGGGAGCGCCGGGATGCTTGTTTTGGGGAAACTGGAGCGTTCCATCGGCGAGGCGCTGTCCAAAGGCCAGCTGCCAGCAGTGGCCGGCTTCATTCCCCCATCTGCGCTGGTCCAGCTCTAGTGACGCGCGCTCTGTGTGCGCCCCCCTCGGGCACAGCCCAGTTCACAGCCGCCCTGGCTCAAGTCTGCGGAGATAAGGCAGAGCGAGAGTGAGTGGACGGATGACGGCGAGGCTGGGCTGGGAAGGCGGGTTGCTATTTACCACGGCGGTGCTCTGTATGCGCGCTCTCCCCAGCGCGCACCCAGTAGTAGCCAGGGATTTGTCCGCGTGTGCAGTGTGTCATCGTCCGCCGGAGGCACCCACCACCCCATGCGTGGCCACCGCGGCGCCCCTCGGTCAGGCAGGGCGCAATGGCCGCTTGTCAGCAGTAGGTGGCAGTATGGGCATGAGACTCATCATCCTTTTCATTTATGCATGCATGCATCCATTCATTCATTCTCCAGAGCTGTGAGGCTTCAACCTGGATACCCTTGCCTTGGGGCTTGACTTGATCATGGTTTGTTCATCATGGATAATTTCGTGTTCCTCTTTAAAAAATATTTTATTGCGGGCTCATACAATGCTTATCACAATCCATCCATCCATCCATTGTGTCAAGCATATTTGTACATTCATTGTCACCATCGTTCTCAAAATATTTGCTTTCCACTTGAGCCCCTGCATCAGCTCCTCATTTTCCCCTCCCTCTCCATTGCCCCCTCCTCCATGAACCCTTGATAATTTACAACTCATTATTATTTTGTCATATCTTACACTGTCCGACGTCTCCCTTCACCCACTTTTCTGTTGTCTGTCCTCCAGAGAGGAGGTCACATGTAGATCCTGGTAATCGGTTCCCCTTTCTACCTCACCTCCGCTCCACCCTCCCGGTATTGCCACTCTCACCACTGGTCCTGAGGGGTTGATCTGTCCTGGATTCTCTGTTTCCAGTTCCTATCTGTACCAGTGTACATCCTCTGGTCCAGCAAGATTTGTAAGGTAGAATTGGGATCATGATAGTGGGGGGGGGGCAGGGGAGGAGGAAGCATTAAAGATCTAGAGGGAAGTTGTATGTTTCATCGTTGCTAAAAAAAGGGCATTGGAATATTATATTGATCACAGAGGTTTTTCTTTTTAAATTTTGCATCCCCCTTGATCTTTGTAAAGGTGGTGTGAACTATTCCCGTGCTTGATTGCTAAATGAAGGTTGGAGTTTTAGTTCATGCTGAGGTGTCCCAGAAGAAAGGATCTACCCCGCCCCCAGCCCCCAAATCAGTGCTGAGAACCCCAGGGAGCCCAGCTCCTCTCTGACACCCCTGCAGTTGCTCTGAGTTGGAGCTGACCCCACAGCCACTGACTTTGAGCATTCTGAACCCCATTCAAGTGCCCCACTCCCTCACCGCCTCCCCCTCGTCTGGGTCCTGCCTCAGGGCAGGGGGTTTCCAACGAGGACCACAAGGAGAGCTTAAGAGACTCTGCTCCTCAGTCCCCAGGCCCTCAACGTCTGGGAAGGGAGCTGCCGGGGAGGGGACTCCCTTTCTATCCCCATCCTCCAAAAGAGAACGGAGTCTTTCCCAACCTGAGTTTCCCCATGGTGCATTATGCGCTGGTGGTAGCAGGAGCTTTGGGGATGCCCAGCAAAGGGGCGATTTGTAATCTTAATCTCAGTGCTATGGAAGTGAAAACAAACAAACAAACAAACAACACAGTTAAAAGCCTCACTTCCTTCAGCCCCTCCCATTGACTTGTCTGGACAAAGGTTCACATTGATGTCTCTAAAAATGGAAAAGAGGGGTCACATGAATATCGCATTCTACTTCATTCTCAGATACCAGAACCAATAAAAAAAAAAAAAGGCCCCATTCATCTGATGAAGAAAAGTATGTTTGTGCTTACGAAAACAGTGATCTTTTTGACCAACTGTGCCCTAACAGTAACTGTGTTGGGAGAAGGCCAGCAAAGTCCCGTGAGGCTCACTTGCCTGAACCCCTGCTCTGGGAGCTGGGGCGGGCCACTCTCCTACAGAGAGACTGGCTGAGCAGCAGTAGGCTGAGGCGGCTTCTGGGAAGAAGGGTCATTTTCTTTGTTCCCTTGCGGACCTTCACACTTGCACCTGGACTCACTGCTGGCTAGGCAATCCTGGCTCATCGCTGCCCTGTCAGGACAGAGCAAACTGCCCCTGGGAGTTCTTGAGGCTGTAAATCTTGACAGGAGTAGAAAGCCCAGCGTGCAGGCTCTCTGGTGGTTTTGAACTTCTGACTCTCTGGTAAGCAGCACAATTTGTATCCCATGACCACCGGGACCCCTCCTCACTCTTGTGCTAGAGAGTTTTAGTCTCTCCTCTTTCCCATTCCCCACTGTTGCTCCTGTAACTGTTTCTCCCTTTTCAGCCATCACTGCTGGCCATCCCACACTAAAGCTGATGGGGGGGGGTGTATTAGTCTAGGTACTTTGGAGAAACAAATCCACAGCGACTCATGTATAAGAGAGAGTTTTATATAAAGAAAAGGTGCATCACGAAAACATCCCAACCCAATGCTGCCCAAGCCCACAAGTCCAACATTAACCCATACCCAACACCAGTCCACAAAGTCCTTCACCTCACAAAACAGAGGCAATGATGCCGACTGCAGGAGGAAAGCTGAGTCAGTGAATGAACAAGCATCTCAGCACTGGCAAGGGTCTCCACACGGCTGCTCCAGCACCCAGGGCTGCATCGGGTTAGATCCATGTGGCTTCTCCTTGGGGATGTCTTGTAGGAAGTCAATCTTGCAAGCTGAAGCAGGGAACTGCTAAGGCAGCTGCACCCGGTGCAACCATCACAAAACAAGAGACCCGAGAACTAGAAAGGCGAGGCTTCACCACCCATTTATCCCTCCGCCTTTCAACCAGCACCACATGTGATTATTGGCCAGGCTGGCACAATTAACTAACTCAGGGGGCATGGAGGCAGTCCCCAGCCTCCCAGTGTGGAGAAGACAGTGCCCTGCAGGCCTGGGACTGCGTCCAGTCAGGATCTCAATGCTCAGTCTCTTCATCTGCAAAATGAGGTGAGGACCAGATGATCCCAAAGGAGTGAGGCCAGAATTTCGTCTGGGAATCTGTGTGGACTCCATTTTGGACAAAAGGCCACAGTGGGGCTGCTCCCCCTACCTAGGGAGTCCCCTGCATGTTCGTCGCAGTCTGCAGTGGCCGCAAGTTCTTGTCTCTTTCTTGAATTCCAAACCACTACATCTACATGCCTGGTGGGTACTCCCACCTACAAGTCTTCGGTC